AATATTCCTTGCTTGCCCTGCATGCTTAAGAGAAGCCCTTTTTCATGTAATAGGGACACTGCCCAAATTGTGAACTTTCAAATACAGTCAAAATCAACAGCCTTTTATAAACTTTTGTTTCCGACAAAACAAAGCAGTGACGGAATTGGTATACATCAACCAGGTCCCCAATGACCTTGACCTTCCCTTCTAGAGGCTTCTAAAAATCTAGTTAGAAGAATCACGTGACCCAGTCATACTGTACATGTAAATACCTTGTTGTTGTTAAGAATATTCCAAATTTTATGGCGACATTGTTTTTTTCGGGGCACAAGTGTTCCTGGCATACTTAGAAACTTCTAGAACTGTCTGCAAAAAGCCCTATATAAAGAGATTCCTTAGCCACTTAAAACAATCTTAGGCAGACACAGAGGGTAGAAGGCAGAGGGAGCCAGAGTGAAATAGATACTCTAGGGTAGTCACAGATAACGCAAGGAGAGGAGTGTAGAAGAGATGTAGAATGTTCACTTATACATATATAATAGTGTTTTTTTGTGTGTGACATGTGAAATGATATATTTTGAGGAACTCCAAATTTCAAAACTACACGCCTTTGGGACCCCCCCCCCTCCCCCCCCCCCCCAACGTTCACCGGGGGTTAAAGGTTATGCATGGAGAAAAAAGCTAGAGGAGACTGCAAAAGACAGGATGGGGAAAAGGGCAGAATACAATATAACAAAATGTTTAGAAAATGAAGTCAAGGTTTCACTTATATTATTACTTATTCTTCGTGGCTGTAAACTCAAGCAGAACTTGAGTTTGCGTGCAAATGCACATCTGTTTTACAGATCTGGCTTATCTGTATGCAGACTGTTGATTCCTCACCTCTCAGGCATATGACCAACTTCGAAGGAAACACCCTAACTAGTTGACTTTAACGACCTGCGTGTTAGGGAGACAGTAGGGATACATACACCAAACTTCTAATATATTTGAAAGCATTGATTCTCCCAAAACTGGAGGGTGGGGAAAGACCAGTAAGGGAAGTAATCTGATGTTATGACTTCTCCCAAACATTTGAATTTAACAACTTGGTTTAGCATTTTAGAACCAGTGCTAATCTAAATCGTAGAGCGGCTGAGTGAACAGTAAGAATGCTGGTCAAGTGGGAGACCTGGGTTCGTAAGGCTAGGAATTATTTTCTTCTGTCGGGGGCAAAATAAAATCCTCACCTGCATAGTTGTGCCGACTGAACCAGCCACGCAGCCTTAAATCCTCATTATTAAAAAGTGGTATAATAAAGTCAGTATTTGGCAGTTTTTGGTTAATCTAAATCACAAGACAACAGATCAAATGGTTCAGATAGTGCACTGCAGAGCCCTGTCCCTCAGACACAATGGAAGTAGACCTAGAGGCTGACCATACAAGCAATTGATAGATGGAATATCTGAAGCCATAAATACCAACCTCTATTTAGCACATACCAAAGGTCAACACGAAGCCTCTTCAAAACCTGGCAGTAAAAGACAGCTTAGGACTAGAGAAGTAGTTAAAGCATTTTGGTCTACCCGTAATGTACACAAAATTCAAGATAGGCGTATCAGCCATGTGCACCTGTGGAAAGGTGCCCCAGACAGCAGAGCATGTACTCCAGGACCGCACCGAATTTGACACATTAAGGCAAACCTTTTGGCCAGAAAGAACAACAGTGGAATGTAAACTCTATGGACCCTTGAATGAGCTAACAACGACAGTGAAATTTAAGCAAGAGACAAAACTGCTGATATAGACAACTTATTTCAGGTAAACGAAAGAAGAGGAAGAAGGAGGTCTCACTGTATTAACAAAAACAAAAATTATATTACAAAATATGAAAAAAAATCACTAATACCTTCTTGCAGTTCTGAACTGGGTTGCACTTGGTTTTTCTCGGACGATAAACTTGCACCTCTCTTTGTCCAGGCATTTGTAACAGGAGGCGGAGCATCCACAAATTTCTTGGAAGCTTGCTCACTCTTGCCATTCTTCTCCTTGTCAGAGGAGACACCAGTGTCTACACATGAACTCGGTCTATCATTCTGAGCTGTGTGTGTCCCACTCTCCTGATTATTTTCAGCAGTCTGTGAATCCCCAGCATTCTCATCTTTGCTGTGTTCACATTCGAATGGTTTGGCCATATTGGCGGAAGAAGCTGCAGCCATGACTCCAGCAATTTCTGGCTGAACTTCTTAAGTTCTTAGTAGAAAAGACCTCCTGTAAAAAAAAATATATAATAAAACAATTAGGTAGTTTTATTTAATCTGTCGGCTCTGTGGCTAAGTCGACGCGAACGCTTCGCTTCGTAATGCCGGGATGCCAGGTTCGATCCCAGCTGCGGGCAATGCGCCTTGCGTTGGTTTCGACAGTGGTATCAAGAAAGCCGACCGTCCAGAAAGCAATGGCAAACTACTGGACGTAAATTGCCTAGAGAAACCACACAACAGCCAGGGGCTGTTAGGGTTGGTTCTGCAACGTCCTGTAAAGGATACGCAACTAACTTTTTTTATTTAATCTACTCATAGATTATCTTTTGCACCTTTCCTGGCTGTGATGTTGACTACTACATCATCCATCGAGTACCAATTGGTCTATAAAACTTAGGTTCTAGCCCTATATGCTCAACACAAAATAAAGCATGGAAAAGGGTCCTATGTTTCAATTTTCCAGAAGTGACTAAAAATTGTGTGTCACGGGCTCTCTGATGACAATATTTTAATATTCTGAAATTCTATATTTTAAAAACCAGATTAAGTGGGAAAGTGAAATTTAACTTTTAAAATAATAATGTTCTAGGACAAAATGTGATAAGCAAACAATGGGATAGAATGGGTTAATGTCTTCTTCTTCTGCTTTGATCTAAAGATGTAATTATGTTGTGTCCATATACAGCATGGCTATGATATTTGCGCTTTTTGGCCGACACAGACTTCTGTAGGCATTTGTTGAACTGGGCCAGCCTTCCCGGGAACGGGTTCCATATACAGCATGGCTGTGATATTTGCGCCTTTTGGCCGACACATCTGACTTCTGTAGGCATTTGTTGAACTGGGCCAGCCTTCCCGGGAATGGGAAGAACCAGCCAGATGAAGAATAAAAAGATTTAAAAACAGATTTAAAAAAAAAAAATTCACCAGTGAATGCAAAGTGTGTGGCTCGGTAGTGAAAGAATTAACTCCAGCCTCAACCCAAAAAGTGTTGTAAAGAACTTGTGTTGTTTTATGCATGTCAGAAATGGACAATAAGAGGGGAAAAGGTAAAAAAAAAAGAAAAGAAAAAGGAAAGGACCCTTTTCTAAGCCTTCAGGCTTATTGGCTATATAGGGCTAGACCTATATTCTATAGACCAATCTGCACTTTGTGGATGATGTGGTCAGCATCAAGCCGGCCACCGCTACTTCCCTAAGACTGTACCTGGTAAGCACTCAAGGCTGGTTGACCTGGAAGTCAAGGTCATTTTCTGAAAAAAAGTCAGGCCCCAGTTAGGACCCGAACCCATGACCTTCTGATCCGCAGGCGAGAGTAATAAGAGAGAAAGCTGAAAAAAAATTTTACTCGTAGGAAAGAATATGAGTTTTTTTTTTTTTTTTTTTTTGAAGAATACAAAAATACTTCATGAAGAAAAACAAATGAAGTAGTCCGCCTTGAGACAGATAAAAGTCATAAACTGTTTAGACCAGTGATTCCCAAATTGTGCCGGGTGGCGCCACGGAGAGCCGCGACCACTTCACAGGGGTGTCGCAAAATATTAGAAGATACACAAGTTTTATTTGTTTTGATCTCTTACAAATGAATAGTCATACTTTTACTTAGGCTAGGGCGCCGTGGAACATTTTTAATTGAAACAAGGCACCGCGACTAAGAAATGTTTGGGAAACACTGATAAGAAAAATCAGATACAGGCAGGCAGACTTTTCTTCTGCGCATGTTGAGAGAAGGAATGGATTCCAGAACTTGGTTAACAACTAGCAAGACAGATGGAATGACAGCAAGGAGAAGGTGAGGAGATAAATACTTGGATGGCTTAGCCGTAAGGATGGGGTGAAACTAGAACACTGACCAAATCGTTGATTGTGGTGATTGTATGAGATATGACAGCCTATGCTTATCGGCATGACACACGATGATGATTTAAATACCTGAGAACAAGCTTTTTTTTTTGGATTCTTCACATTTCTTTTTACTATCTATCACACTAAAACTGAATACTGAAGATAATCAGGTGACTTGTTATTTATGTAATTTTATTACTTACTATTCGAATTACCCATAATTCCTTCAGAATCAGCGGATTCAACTGATTTTATTTTAGTGGCTAGAGACTTGAGTAAACACAACCCAAAACTCAGCTTGTACGAGGACTTGCATGAGATGGTTAAAGACATTTGTTTCAATAGAGGATAAGGACAGAAGAGGAAGTAGCGGCCCTGTAATTCAATCAAACAAGCTGTGGCACAGTTCATTAATTCTTGTTGCTTACTGTTTTCATTATGTATAACTCACATAGATAATAATATGCTCTTGTCATTGGTCGCACCCACAATTGGTTATTATTTGTAATACATGAATATAATGTTTATTAGGACTTCATTACTTCTTTAGCTCGCTAATCTACTTTTTGTTTGGTTTAATATCATTCCATGATATTCTTTAGCTCATGTTTTATTGTGTATGTTCAATAATTAAATGCATGGTGTACCGCACTTTTTCTTCTTTTGCTGTCTCCCTTAAAAAAGGGCAGTTGAGCTGGCACAATGTGTTGTAGTTTATAGCTAGGCTGTGATATCTGCACCTTCTGGCTCGACACATTTTATTTCAGCAAAACTTTAATGGTCACCTTTTTAGACATGCTTGTTAAAAGGAACAGTGGATCTATTTTCTTCCCCTTTAAAAAAACAAAAACAAAGGCAGGATTTGGGGGAGGGGAGGGGGGTAAAAACCCACAAGAAAAGGTGTGTGTGCTGTTCAGTAAACATAACAAGACTGATTTTTTTTCTTTTAAAGTGTGGAGTAAACTATAGCTACTATATGAAACCTTAGCTACACACGTCTAAAATCAACATAAAATTTCTAGACAAAATGCAGCTGCTATATAAATGATAAGTGTCTGGAAGGGGAAGGGCTGAATGTACAACAGGCATACATGCCCAGTTTGTGACCCTTTTAAAAAAAGTAAGTTTGTTTATTCGCTCGTAAGCTTGCCAGGTGGTGTAGGAGTCTCATCTTCTTCTTTTGTCGTTTCAATGATACCAGGCTGTAGCCCAGCGTCGTGGTTTTCTTTATTTGTCTTGCGCTTCTGGAGTGGCTTGACTGATGGATTTGTTCATCTTTTTGCAGGTTTTATCGACACCATTTATCCATCTCTTTCGCCTTCCTCCCAGATATTTTACTGTAAAAAGTCTCATATGCAGTCTCGTCTGGCTGCATTCTCACTAGATAGCTTAACCATTTCATTCTCTGTCAGTCAATATCATCCAGACATGGTCTTATTCCAGCTTTCTCTTTAATGCTGGTATTTGTGACCCTGTCTTGTCTAGTGTTGTGAGTGATCTTGCAGAGACGGTGCATTTCACATGTAGTTATTTTCTGTTCTAGTGCCCTATTCATATGTCTCACCACACCACATGTTTGGGGTAAATTCTAGTAATTATCTTTCTCCATGCCAACATCCACAGCTTTTCAACTAAGTTTACCCAGAGGCCACAATTTTGAAAATGGGGATTGTTCGAGCCAAAGGCAAAGAAAAATTAATACAACTGGCAATTATCCGCAAGTTACTTGCTAGGTCTCAGTGGGCCAGATTTAGCCAGCGGGCTGCCAGCTGAATAGACAGAACAGTATAATTTCTCTTCAATACATCAAGATATAACCTCAGGATTTACTGGCTGCTGCGTGGTTTTGGTAGGCAAGGTTATTAGTTTACCATTGTTTCTAAATGGTACAACATTGATTTCATACTCAAAGTAAACAAAAAACAGTCTACTACCAAAATGATTGCAGCTGACTTCAAAATCCATTATGTCAGAATATTGAAACTAGGTTAACTATACCCTTCAATATGTTATAAAAACAACAAACAAAGGATGGTGGTTATGGGGAAACAAGGGCCTTAATTATTGGCAGTCAACACTGGTAACAGCTGGGGGAAACAGTAGCATATTCCTGTTATTTCAGAACCAACGACTTCTTATTTCTATATATTTTACAGCTCACAGATGTAGCAGAGGAGACTGGTAGTACAGCTGCTAGCACAGTTGTCATAGATTTGAATTTCCATTGAGACAGCTTGTTTTAAAATGATTTGGGCTCTAATTTTTACCAGCCAAAAATGGATAGCCGAAAATGCCCCGAGAAGTATGTGTGGTCTGCTTTATACTAACTACACAGCCCAACGAGTGCTGACTGTCCACAAAATATGAAACTAGAATCGTTTGCTAAACACTCAAGGCACAAATATTCATTTATTTTAATTTTTTTAGATACAGAGCCTATGTCATGAATGAATCAATCAAAAAAATTACATCACTGTACTTGGGACATTCCCACAAGTGCTCCACCTCATTCTACAGTAGCCAATGAAGAGTCTACATGTTAACAGTACCAGTTCTCCTTTTTATAATTAAGTAGCTTACCCCCCAGAGCAGCGGCAGGAGCTAATCTATCATATGGCCTAGGTAATATGGGATGTCATTTGTCAACCAGTAGAAATGGTCCTGTTTTTATTTTTTAAATATTTAGAAACCATGAGCTAACCCTTTGGCTCAGTACTAAAGATATGGCAACCCTTGACCTTGATTCCAAGATAGATACCACAAATCTGGGAGAAATTTGGCTTTTCTGCCAACCCCCGGGCGTGAACCCGAACCACAAGGAGTTTGTCACCTGGTTGCCGCGAAGTCAGATTTAACCAACTGCGTTAGCGAGCCGGGCATGAAGTGGTCATTAACAACAACTACTTGCTCTAAGGAGAGCAGCAAAGTTGTCGGTTCTCCCAGGCGACAGACATAACCCAAATGGATATAGAAATAGCTGAGATAATAAATGCCTAACCATGATCCAAAAATAAAGTTTCCTTAAAAAAAGCCAGACATGCTGGAGTTCCATCTATAAATACTCAGTGTCTACCCCACCCACATGATTAAAAACACAGTTTTTATACCAAAATCTGCTTATGTTCATATTATCTGAC